AGAGGGAGAGGGAGAGGGAGAGGGAGAGGGAGAGAGGGAGAGTCAATTATTCATTTATAAATAATAAATACAACTTCATGGATTAGGGACAAAGGTGCCCTCCCACTAGAAGAAAGCTTTTCCTATTTATGTTTTCAATTTAGCACTGAATAATCAATGTGACCCCAAATCTCAAAGAGTCGTCCATTGGCACAAGCTCTGGACGAAAATTTTGCACAAGCCCATTCTCTAAATGTCACATCTGCTCATATTCATGTTTTCATTGTCTTTACCACTCCAATGAGCTGGCTCTCAAATTCTTATCCACACTAGAGAACTCAGAAATACCTCCTCAAAACAAAATAGGTTAAATATTGGAGACATCAAATCAGACATTTTAATAGGAACTTAATAGAACAGTGGCTGAAATCCTGTTGCACAGCTGCACCTGCATAATTTTAAGCTGAGTAAGCCACTGCAAAATTTGCACTCAAGGCAGAAGTATTATCTAGGAAGCAGTTCTACAGATGCAGCTGCTGTGTCAATTGTGTGGTCAATGTGTGCTTCATTGCCTAGTTTGTTGTGCAATCAGACATGTGGACTGCCTGAGTGTAACTCCCTGTGAACTTCAGAAGGCACAATTTTTCAGTATATCAGTACAATAGGATTTCAGCCAGACATTTGGCCCTTCTCTCCCTTTTGGCAGTTTTTAATAAAGACCTGTTTCTTTTTTAAAAACCCAGCAAAAATTATTAATAACTCTCAGCTAATAATGCCCTATAGAACTTCCCTGCACATTTCCCCCCTAAAAGTTAAAACTTCCAGACAGTCAGAAGAAGAAAATAGGGTGTTGATTTTGGAATTCTAAACAATACATTCTAAACAATGTTTACAGCATTCCCTCACTAGCCTTTCCATTGTGTCCTACAAAGTACTGACCAGAAGGACAAGATATGTGAATTTATCAGGCCTTTCCTTCCAAAGGCACACTGCAGAAGGGCCTTTGTAACTAACTCCTAAAGTGCATAGGCTCTGAACACACAATCTATATCCTGCAGAACTGGAGAGTACAGGTCACATGTTTGATACCAAAAAGAAAGAAAAGACTTTTGCATCACAAAGGCAGGCTCAGGAAGCCCCATCTTGTACTCTCACCACCTCCTTGTGCACCTGAACATTTCTACCAGTTAGAAATGCACAAGAGTACAGTCATTCCCTCTTCCTAATTCTCACTGCTTCATAGTCAAGAAAGAAAACTGACACTGCCCACAAAAACAGCAGGAGTCAGCAGGAAAAGCAAGGAAATATTTGAAGAGAGCTCTAATGCTTTTCAACTCGACAACTGGAGTGGAACCATCTTCTGAAATCTCGCATTCGTCCAAACATATTATTTTTTAACAACATGTTTTCTTTCAACTAAGACAACCAGTGTGCTAACCTCTTTCTCTTGCTTCTAACTAATAGCTGGGAACAAAGGGAAACAAAGGGGAACCAAAAAAGTTGACATGTTTGCTTCTGTCACAGTTTAATGACAGGCAGAGATATGTTTCTCATGCATTTGGTACAGTATTTTTAAAATTCTGCATTGCATGGTCTACAGTTTTTCTCTGATTACCAAACAGAAATTCAGCTACTAAAACAAATCAATTAAAACAAAAACAAAAATTAGGATATGCGTGCTTAAGAGATCTCCTCAAGGGAAGAAAAATCAGATCCTTATTGTTGAAATCTCACTAGCTCACTCCAAATTTTTCAACAAAATCAGATAATAAAAGTGAACACATGAAGCAAGGAGCTATGGGAGGGAAACCTATTGGTATTCATGTAAGGTTTGCAAAACATACTGTGGCTAATTATGACTAATTGACGGGATGCCAGGGTACATCTTGGTTGCAGAACTGGGCATGTGACCAGGCATATAACGCAGACCCCGGCACCTCACCAATTAGCCACAAATAGCTGCAACCTAGATTCCCTCTAATAGGTATGCACAACTCTGCTCCCCTCTGCGCTGGGCTCCACCTCCTCAGCATACCCACAGTGATGGTTCTTAGCCCCTTTGCTTCTGGCTGCAACTGAACCTCACATGGGGGCGAAGTTGTCTGTGTGAGGGGCACAGCCCTGCCCAGAAGGGCTGAAAATTAGAGGGAATGTTGGCTTCAACTATTTGCACAAACTTCATGTGAAAATCTATAGGATTCTGGAGACTGTATCTCTGGAGGTACGTTGACTGTGGCTAATTATGACTTTGCACTCAAGTTTAGAACTGGCCATACTTAAGCAAACAAGTTGCTCATTTAGCTCCACAACAAAAAACAACAAAGTAACAAAATAGCAAATAGCATCATTAATACATAGGGGCAAAAAAAAAAATCATAAAGTGCAGTGAAGATAAAATATAAGGCTATAAATACCATTAAAACTATTGGAAAATAAAAAACATGGAGCATGGCAGTATGATAGAAGTTATATTATTGGACACTACTGTATCAGAGTATAGCTTGTTCAGGGAAGGCCTGTCTAAAATAACCAGGTTTTTAGTAGCTTTTTGAATGTGCGCAGTGAAGGGGCCAGGCGGACTTCCGGCAGAAGAGAGTTCCATCATTGTGGCGCTACCGCCAAGAAGGCCTGATTTCTAGTGGTTGTTCTCCGGGCCTCTCCCAGGGTTAGAACTCTCAGCCGCTCTGCCTGCAACAATCTTATAGAATGGGCAGACCTAACTGGAAGGAGGCGCTCAGAAGAAGGCGCTCCTTCAGTTCAGAGTTCCTTGTTGTCAGCCTGCTTCCTTGGGAATTTCTGGTCCATTAGAGTGAGGAATACAGTTGTTCATTGGAGGCGGGTTTCTTCCTCAGAAATCTAAATAAAGTCCTTAGCCACAGAAGCATTTAAGGAAAGTACAAGATCAGAGGTGGGAACACACTCAATAAAGTCCTAGATTAGAGTGTGTAAACTCAGAGGGCCCATTTTTCTGGTCACGGGATTCTTCAAAGACTATACCAGCTCCTCTCACTAGGACTGAAGATGATTGTAAGGTCTATTCTGATGCTAAATGTTTTTAGCTTTTTTAAAAAAAACTTGATTCGTTGTAACTTTTGCTGCTAAAACAAAGTAAGAGAGCACTTGTTTTACTGGAGGATTGTGCCTCTTATAATTGTGATTTTGGGAGAAAACTCAAAAATTATTTTAAAGATTGTTTTCCCCTCTGAGGGTAATAAAAAGGAGGCTGCATGATTCACCCCTGCCCCCTCTGCATAAGGGCTGAGAATGTCTTTCAGGCAAATTAAATTTTAGGAAAATTCTCAATGGTCAGATTTCAAAATTAAATAGTGCCAAAGACAAAAGAATGGGAATAAAGATACCAGTATATCTTGGCATGAAGTTCTTATAGCCAAGGCAGGGGTAGACACATTTCAGGTTTGCACAATTCAGTGTATTCTGCTAGGTTTTTAAAACCAAAATGTCAGTCTCTGTCTACCAAACCTAGCTGCAAATCACCTATGGAAGAAAGAGCAAAATATTTGCCATGCAATTTTCAATCAGAAATAGTACTGGGCTATGTATGTATGTATATGTTTGAATTAGCTTCTAGTAAGTCCTAAATGAGCTCCATGAAAGAAGGCTGACCGCCGAAAAATTGATGCTTTTGAATTGTGGTGCTGGAGGAGATTCTTGAGAGTCCCCTGGACTGCAAGGAGATCACACCTATCAATTCTAAAGGAAATCAACCCTGAGTGCTCACTGGAAGGACAGATCCTGAAGCTAAGACTCCAATACTTTGGCCATCTCATGAGAAGAGAGGACTCCCTGGAAAAGACCCTGATGTTGGGAAAGTGTGAAGGCAAGAGGAGAAGGGGACGACAGAGGACGAGATGGTTGGACAGTGTCATCGAAGCGACCAACAGGAATTTGACCCAACTCTGAGAGGCAGTGTGCTCTAGTCCATGGGGACATGACTTACTGAGTAAACAACAACAACAACAACAACAACAAGCCCTAAACGTTAATGTTAAGACCATAGCAATTGAATTAATGGTTGGAATGCCTGTACAAAAATTATTTTAGCCCAAGAAATTATTTTTAATACTAGAACGGAACATGTCAACTTTTTACCTAAACAAACAAACAAATAAACAAACAAGTTTGTTTTCCCCTAGTCTTTCCTTATCTTGGCAGCCTAATTTACAAATGGGATGAGGAAAGCTTTGAAGGAGCACTGTAGATGAATTACTAGTAGATCCTATTGTACTTTCTTCCCTTCCTATGGGGGAAGATGGGAGCAGATTCTCTCCCTCTTGCTTCCCCCCCATGTGCATCAGCAAGATGGTATTCTCCCACCATCCGTACAACTCTTTATTGCATACCAGGTTATACCCAGTCACTCCAACTAGATGGTAGGAAGGCAATCTATTCTTTTTACAGGCACAGAATACAAATTATGTGGATAAATAAAGGTAGAACATTAGAGACATCCTACAATATAAAAGATAATACAGAAAATGATAGCACTCTCGGAAGCATCAGAGGAAAAATGGTTCTAAAACTTCACGATACATGTATTTCTTCCAGCAGTAATGATGAGGAATATTTTTATAGGCTGCTGTTTGTTTTTAAGGCAAAGCCATTTCATTATATTTTCAGTGCATTGCTACTGCAAAACGGAAACATTTTGCAAACGAAAGCAGAATAGGAGCTAACAAAAAAGCTCAGCTATATAGGATCATTATTTGTCTTTCATCTAAGTTACAATGCAAAGATGCAGATGTTATACATCTTGCCTTAAAATGCTCAATCTATGCTTATAATAATTCTCCTAATAACAAATGTGCAAAATAGGCCAAGTAAATGAATTTATTTCAATTCAAGCCAATTCAGCTTTGCAGTTTCACTTTAGCTTTGTACAACGTCTAATCACAAAGCTTTTCAAGTGTGGCTGTTATTAACTTCTTTCATTAACTTATATTCAGGAAATATGGTTGTTTTAAGTAACAACAAAGGGCCACAGCCTTTTAAATGTCTGAGTGTTTTACTGCTGCACAATTTGTGAACATGCAATGAAAGAAACGTAAGAGTTTATCTGGTATGTTTACTACCCTCTCTTCCTAAAAAACACCACTGCAGTACATTTTAATTTTTGTTTACTACCTTGAAAACCTCTATTTTAATTTCAGCTGGATGCAATAAAAGCTATTGCTAAGTCAGTGTTGATTAACTGGCCCTCTGTTAAGTGCCTTCCAACCAAAAGCATCTTGTGTGTATTACAAATTGGGTATATCCTGAAAATTAGTGCAATTTATGGGATTACAATGCGATTCTCATAATAGCATTTAGGTATATTTCTTAATCCATAACCTGTGTATGCTAAGGAATATCCACTTGATGCTTTTGATGTTGAAATGGATGCATACTGGAAGCTGCACAGAGTTCCACATTATTCTTAAGGACAAGAAAAGCCCTGAAGGTGTGGACATAAAGAATAGTAGAAAACAATTAAACACACTGGAGTGCAAGATGTACCTACCATGAAAGAATCTGGTTGTATCCGTATTGGAAATCCCTTTCCTGAGATTTCTGGACAGGATAAGTCAATTGGTTCTCATGGAAGTACAGGACCTTTTTCAATTTGCCAAGGTCAGGCCGAAGGGCAATGAGTTCAGCCAGGTTAAGCACCGAGCTTGCAAAGAGGATCCTAGGAAACAAGGAAAGTAGTGTTTACTGTCTACAAGCCTGCTCACAAGTGTCACCCTTCACCCTTTCCCTCCCACCACCATCCCCACAAGAAAAACATAACATCTATAGGGACACATCAGTGGCTAAGCCTTAATACCATGTAGCAGCATTCTGAGTTTTGATCTCTCAAAAAAAACAGCTAAGAACTGAAGTAGAAAAGCACTGAATCTCATTGGTTTTCTCAGCTCAGTTACAGAGAGATGCAACATTAAAAAAAGAAAAAGAAAAAATAGCTAGATGGGTTTTATTGAAAAAATGCAAGAAAAGCTGTGTCTGAAGGACAAATGGAACAAAGATAAGACTGACTGGGGAATACTTTGCTTGCCAGTTTCATTACACTTTACTTCTTTATGCAACCAACTACCGAAATTCAATATATGAGCCAGAATGGCACATGTTCCTGTTATGACATAAAGCCTTTTGATTTATACAATAGATAGATCTAGTGAGTTATTTTGTGTGCTTTTTAAATTTTATTTTTTTCAGGTTTCCTTTTTCTATTTTTATTCAATATCCTTCACAGCCTTTGTTGTTTTGTTCCTACTGGGCCATCTATTACCATGATACTAGGAGCAATTGGTAGCCCCGGTTCCCTACTTTAAATTACACACAATAGGTGTGAATACAACTGAGAAAGTAGAACAGACCTCTTGACAGGGCAATTCAGGTACATAGTATTCGTACATAATATTATACCAAGAGTGGAAGACTTTATACATTGTTTGAATAAAGAGAAATTCCAGGGCTGCAGCACTTACTCCAGTTTAGTTTCTTTCAGAGACCTCTTCATTCTCACAGTCTTTTGCAATACAGAGTTTAAGTGGAAAAGGTTGGCAATGATATTAACGTGAATGAGACAGTCGCCTCAGAGATGGGCCACTAGGAGCGGCCAGTTTGTACCTGACTTTGTAGCCCTCACAAGGCCCCTGTTGCTCTAGAAAGCTACCACAACTCTATGCCACTCTCTAGATCAGTGGTCCCCAACGTTTTCCATGCTTGCGGGTGGGCGGGACACGAGTGCATGCGGGGTGGAGAGAGATCTGTCTCTGTGGCCCAGTTGTGCCATGGCCATGGACCGGCACCAGGCCGTGGACCAGGGGTTGGGGACCCCTGATCTAGAGCACCCTCAACAGCAACACCTGCCTATATCACCACCTTTCTGGTGACAGGGGGATGTTTGCACCTCAGGATTACCTCTTGGTTGCCACTCTCTCCTTTGCCTTGGTGCATGGGCAGGTAAGGAAGTGCCATGTTTTTCCTCACTCGTTCAGGGCAAGACGAAGCAAAGCCAAACACTTCTCTCTGGTTGATGGACAGGCTGGCTGACAGACAGGCAGGGCTATGTGTACTTCCAGTGCAACCTTCTTTTGCTGTGGGAGCAAGTACAGTCTTTCTCAGGTGAGTAGGGCACACAGGCCCAACTGCCAACACTGCCTTCTCCTTGAGTGTTAGGGAGCCAGGTAGTATGCTACTGCGACAGGTGGATGGTGGGCAGCACGTTCCTTCCTGCCTGTTGTGTTGGACTGATACACAGAACCACACATAAAATGGCAAAATCCCCTAACCCACATCAAAACTCCAGAGGGAGGCATCAAAGGGATCTCCACTTACAGAACCCAACACCTCTTTTTCTCTTTCTGTCCCTCTGCTTCATTCCCTGACTGTTAAAAAACTGAAGCCTGTCTCCTTTCACCCCTTTCATTTGTTAAGAGACTTAAAAATGTAGCCCAGAAATAGGATATGAGTTTCTCTGATACAGACAGGTGGAGGGTGATCTTGTATCAAGAAGCAATCTTCTTACATCGACTTCCACTGAGACACATCATCAGAGTATCTCTTGACACCTTCTTCAAGTACAAGACCCTGACTCATTAATATTGTCTTACGGCAAACTCTCAACAATAAGCTTGTTCAAAATAGTCTGATAAACCTATCAGCAGCAAAAGAAGACACTGCAGTAAGGTATAATAGAAAAGCTGGTCAAATGCCCCTAAGTCACAAGTAGCAAAAGTCTAATTTTGTCCCAGTCTAGCACAGGGTATGTTCTTCTTCAGACCCTCTCAAAGCATCAATAAAGCAACCAAATCATGACTGCATACCTTATTGTTTCATATGCAGAGCAAGCTGTGTAGAAATTAGGAGCTGGAAAGGAGACCAAGCAAAGTGAAAACAAGCATGAGAGTATTCTGCATCACCATAGAGGACTCTGGGAACCATTATAATTTTATGCTCTACCAACAGCTGCCCCAGATTCCATCTCCTCTCCCTCTCCTCAGTTGGCCACAAAAACAGACTAGGCTGCGTGAAGAAAACACTCCTTTTCCTCAGAACGACCATTCCATGTTTCTCACAGACACACACTGTCTCTCTTATTCATTGATCTCATTTAACCACCAACACCAGCAGTGGGGTCCTCTGTATCTCCAGGTATTTTTTAGAGTATAACTTGCATTATCCCTCACGACTGGGGATACTGGGTAGGACAGATGGGAGTTATAGGCCAAAAGCACTTGAACAGCCAATGTTTCCCCACATAGATAAATGTATTTAGACAAGAGGACATTCAATATCATATGACATCATGGCTCAGAGACAGCAGCCAAATTGTATAGAAGTATACATTTTGTCTCATATCCCCTTAGGTATCTAACCTCTTTATATTCAGGTCTTATCTATCCAGGCCACTTCAAGCAGTTACTTTCATCTCCATGGATGTAGTCAAGGCCTACATATGTACAGATAATCATGCACAATGACTTCAACAGGTCCCTCATTTGTACTGCCAGAGGGGTAGGGACATTCTTCTAATACATGATAAAGTTTCATCTGTTTTGTTTAACAGTAATAATTCAGTGTCTATCTTAGAATTTATCTCTACAGAAAATCCACTTGAATACAAGTCATTCCATGTTGTTTAATATTAATTATTTATTTAAAATATTTTACCTCACCTTTCTCCTAAAGAAGGATCCAAGGCAGCTAAAAATATTAAAAGCTAAAAATACCAAACTATTCAAGTATTTTAAAAATTATTAAAGAAACATATTTAAAATGTTAAATAAAAACGTTAGTAAAATAGATTTATAAGCAACAAAAGTATAAACCATCCCATTTTAAAACCTCTCTTATACAGCCATTCACTAAGGAAACGTCTGCCTGAAAATAAAGGTCTTCACCTGCTTGCAGTAGGACAGGAAAGATTGGGTCAGTCTGGCCTTCCATTGGACAGAGTTCCAGAGTTTGGGAGCAGCAACAGAAAAGGCCCTCTCCCGTGTCCCCACCAAGCACACCTGTGAGGGTGGTGGGACCGAGAGAAAAGCCACCCCTGATGATCTTAACACCGGGGCAGGCTCATAAAGAGAGGCGTGGCCTTTGAAATAGCTTGGGCCCAAGCTGTTTAGGGCTTTATAGGTTAAACCCAGCACTTTGAATTGTGCCCAGAAATGGACTAGCAGCCAGTGGAGTTGCCATAATATTCTTCTACCTTCTTCATTCACTGCCTGCCAGATTTCCTTGGCTAACAGGAAAGTTGGGCCAGGTCAACAACATGAGATACAGTTGAACTCCAAGAGATCAAAAGGATACTACTGACATTCCATTTTACTACTGTGAACCAGGTTCCTATCTCACGGTGTATCACACAGCAGCACAACGGCTGAGACATTCTATCAATAATCAATCTCTTAACAATAACAATACATATATAACCAATGTCTTTCAACCAAGGTCCAATCATGATCCTCCACTCGGGGCTATTCAAAGTACTCCTCCAAAGGCTGCACCACAAACACCAGCTATAATAGCTACAAATACTGAATGCCAGCATTGCTGTCCTTACAAAGAAAATGTAGCCCTGCTTTGCAGAAGTGACTGGCACAACAACAAAGGAACAGATTTCAAAACACACCATACATACATACATACATACATACATACATACATACATACATACATACATACATACATACATACCTACATACATACATACATACATACATACATACATCTAATTTATAGGCCACCTTTCTCCCCATATAGAGGGCTCCTTGAATCCCCTTATCGGAAGAGATAGAGGATATTCCATCCATTGGATTACTGGTGGGGGCAGTATTTTTAGTGTTGCTAAATCAGTCTCTTTGCAATTGTAAGGGTATGGGGAGTCCATTGATGCTGACTGGTGGTTAATCTCCAAGAAGCAGGTGTATAGCTTAAAAGTACGTATCAACAAAGATCAAATATTGGTCCAGTACAAAATTAATGCAAGTAATGACTCCTCTCCAAAATGAGGCTATAACTAGGCATATCCATAACATGAAACTGAGATGCATCAAGAGAATCACAGAGCCAACAGTTACAGTAAATGATTTGCTCAGACCCTTCCTAATATGACATTAGTCTAGTATATTCTGCACATGATTTTTTGTTGGATGAGTCATAGCTTGAGATCTATAGATATCTCAAGTATATTTGCAAATGCTATCTTCCAATTACTAGATAAAATGACATAATCTATTTCACTCTTCTATTCATCTCTGAGACATTCTGTATCATATTTATTAACTGACAGTAAAGAGATATAAAGAAATAATGCAGGTTTCTTTTCTTGGATGGATGCAATAAGCATTTCCAAAAGTGCAAGAGACTCTGAAGCACTTGAAGCTACTGGACCACATTTAGCTACCAACAGATGCTGTAACTGTATGTTGCCATTCAGTTGAAGCTGGCAAATCACACCTACTTCTCAAACAGGTAAATTGCAAAAAATCATCATCCTGTCAAATTAATTGATTTAAGGTAAGAATTCCTCCATCTGTCCATACCCTCCATAGGCTTCCTCCCAATTTTTAAATCTGGGTTACCCCATAAAGTCTTTTAATGCATCATGGTGCTTCTGAGTTATGGTGCCTCTAGTTAGGCAAGTCATGTGAAATATCCAAGGAGTGGTTTAGCATTGCCACC